GTATTCAGCAGAGCACTACTCATCGTGGAAATGTTAGGAAATTACTTGAGACTAAGGAAAGAATCATCTGAAATAATTAGAGGGAACAGTAGCCAATATTCATAGAGGACTGGAACAGTGACTGTTCGTTCCCATCAATCAGACTGGAAAACCTCATAATTTTATGAAGCATTGGTTGGAGTTCTTAGAAGGGTCCTGCCTTAGCAGTGGGGACACATTAGCCCCAGTTTATTTATTTATTTTTTATTAACCCTAGTTGTTCATCCCATTTAATAAATTTTAAAAGCAACACCTGAAGGAATCAAACTATTTCTAGGTAATGTAACTGCATCTCAGAACAAACCTCAAGAATGTTTACAGAAGGGGTGCCTGGGTGGTTCAGTGGGTTAAAGCCTCTGCCTTCAGCTCTGGTCGTGATCCCAGGGTCCTGGGATGGAGCCCTGCATCAGGCTCTCTGCTCAGCAGGGAGCCTGCTTCCCTTCCTCTCTCTCTGTCTGCCTCTCTGCCTACTTGTGATCTCTGTCTGTTATATAAATAAATAAAATATTTTAAAAAATGTTTACAAAAATACAAAAATAACTAGCATGAGAAAACACAAAATTTACAGTGCCTGAGGTCTAATAAAACATTAGCAGTCGTACAAATAAGCAGAAAAATGTGAACCATAGTGAGGAGGAAAACCAATTGACACCAACCCAGAATTGACACTGATGTGAGAATTAGCAAAGAGATTATTATAGCTGTATTCCATATGTTCATATAGCTAAGTAGAGACTTGGAAGATATTTTCAAAAATACGCAAGTTGAACTTCCAGAGATGGAAACAAATGAATGAGATGAAAAGCCATGAGATGATGGCTTGATGAAAAGCCAATGAGATGATGGAATTAACAACAGTTTAGACACTGCAGAAAAAAAGATTGGTGAACTTGAAGACATGAAACTAGAAATTGTCTAAAATGAAACACCAAAAGAAAAGAATTTTAGAAATGAATAAAGAAGTATATAATACATAATAGGTAGAAAGTTGGTTTTTTAAAATATTTAAAATTGGGAAAAATGCAGGCATCAACTAAAAATGGGTGAGAGGGCATATTGTTTTTGTTTAATTATTTGTGAAGGTATGTGAACAAAAAAAGAGATGATCTTGAAAATGCTACTCCAGATTCCATCTTCCTTCCCCGTTTGCATATGACTTTGCTCCTGTGATCATCCCCTCTTCCCCTGAAGCATCCTTCCTCCTCTCTGCTAGCTCATTCCCCTTAGTACATGTATCCACTAGTAGCTGCAACTTGGGGAAAATCCTTCCTTGACCCCCACAACCCAGCACCACAGTGACTGCCCAGTTGCTCTACTCCATTCACAAAGTTTCTAATGTCTGCATCTGCCATCCCAACTTCCTCATCTCTCATGTACTCTTTAACCTACTCCAATGTAGCTTCCACTCAGACCCACCTCTCCACCAGAATTCTTTTTGCTGTATTTGCCAATGACTTCTTTACCAGTTATTCTCTATAGTTTACCACTCCCTCCTTTGGCAGTTTACCACTTCCTGCTCCTTGGCTTCTAAAACACCACCCTTTTTTGTTGTCTTCTTACCTCCCTGTCACCTCTTTATCAGGTTTTTTTGGCTGGTAGCTTTTCACTGCAACTCCTAAATGTTACTATCCCTATCCTTGGCTCTCTGTAGACTCTGTACACTTCTTCCCCTGGAGATCTCATCCAATATCTCAGCTTTTTTTTTTTTTTTTTAATACATCCACATACACCCAGATCTCAAGAGTAGATCTCTAACCCAGACTCCCCTCTGGGCTTGAAGCCTGTATTTCAAACTGTTTACTTGACAGCTCCACTTGAATGTCTGAGAGGCATTTCAAGTTAAATTCAAAACTAAGCTCTCAATCTCCCAGCAACATAAAAAAATGACTCTTTCCACACAGTTATTCAAGCCTGAGAATTCTCCTTAAGACTTCCTTCTCGGGGCACCTAGGGGGCTCAGTGTTCAATTCTGGGTTTTGGCTGGGGTCGTGATCTCAGGGATCCCAGTTGTGGGATCGAGTCCCACTTTGGCTTTGGGCTCCATGCTCGGTGGGAGTCTGTTCAGAGAATATCTTCCTTTGCCCCTCCCCTCATTTGTGCTCTCTTTCTCTAAAATAAATAATCTTTGAGGGGCACCTGGGTGGCTCGGTCAATTAAGTGTCTGCCTTCAGCTCCTGGGGTACTGGGATAGAGTCCCACATCAGGCTTCCTATTCAGCAGGGAGCCTGCTTCTCCCTCTCCTTCTACCCCTCGTCTTTCTTGTGCTCACTTGTGCTTGCTCGTGCTTGCTTATGCTCACTCTTTCTTTCAAGTAAGCAAGTAAATAAATAAACCTTAAATAATCTTTTGAAAGATTTTCCCTTCTTCCCACATTCAGTCCAACACCGAGTCCTGAGATTCTATGTCCAAAAGCTGTCTTAAATGTGTCTGCTTCTCTTCCATCCTTGTGGTGTCTAAATGGGGTGTCTGTCCAATTGGAACAGGGCCTACAGAATGTAGGGCAATGATCAGGTGGAAGTCGGTGGCATGGGCGGTGAAAGGATTCGCCTGAGGCAAAACAAAAGAGATAGACATTTATTGAATATGCCACAAGGGAGCCATGGGGAGGACAGCAGAAGAGAGGTTGTCTGCCAGGAGAGAGTGGGTGGGAGCTGTTTTTAAAGAAGGAAGGTGAGGACAGTTCGAAACTATGGAATCTTCCCTTTTTTGGTAACTGTGCCTAGCTGTAGTAGCCCATTGGTCAGTTAGGACCTATGGAGGTTTTGAGGTGGGTCGCCTGATGGGCCCATCTGTATTCAGGCAGGTGTTGCTGTGGGCTCTTCCTGCATTCCATCGCTCCAACCTGTTTGCCTCAAAGCGGCCTCTGCACTTTCACTATTACCAGCACCCTCATGGCCAAGCCACCATTGTCTCTCATGGGAATGATTGCAGCAGCCTCCCGGCTATCTCTATAGTTTTGCCCTTACCCCCTTCAGTCCTGTCTCCATGAAGTAATCACAATGAGCTTTTTAAAAATAAATTGAATAACATTCTCCTGCTCTAGTATTTCAATGACTTTCTATTACTCTTAAGATAAAAATCTAATCTTGGGGCGCCTGGGTGGCTCAGTTGTTGGGCGTCTGCCTTCAGCTCAGGTCATGATCCCAGGGTCCTGGGAACGAGCCCCTCATTGGGCTCCCTGCTCAACAGGAAGCCTGCTTCTCTCTTTCCCATTCCCCCTTCTTGTGTTCTCTCTCTCTCTCTCTCTCTCGCTGTCTCTGTCAAATAAATAAATAAATAAATACAATCTTTTTTTTTTTAAAAAGGTAAAATTTAATCTCTTCACCTTTGGTCTACAAAGCTTGCCATTTGACCTCTTATTTCTCCAGCTTTATCTGTACTGCTTTCCTCCCATCTTTCATGCCCAACTAGTCATTTCTGCTTTGCGACTTCACATTTTTCCTTCCTCCCCCACTGTTCATCTGATTAACTCCACTCACCCTTTGTTTTAAGAATTTTATTTATTTGAGAGAGAGCGAGAGGGCACAACCAGGAGTGAGGGGCAGAGGGAGAGGGAAGCAAACTCCCCACTGAGCAGGGAGCCCCATGCAGGGCTTGATCCCAGGACCCTGGGATCATGATCTTAACTGAAGGCAGACACTTAACCGACTGAGCCATTCAGGTGCCCCGGACTCTCATTCATCTTTCATTAATCAAACATCTCCTTAGATGTCTTCCCTGACTATCCAATTTCAACTGTTTCCCCAATTTTCTCTCTCATAGCACATTGTGCTTTTCCTTCATAGTTTTACTACAGTTGGTAAATATACATTTATTTGAGGGTTTTTTCCCACTTAATTGAGATGTAACTAACAAGTGTGTGTGTGTGTGTGTGTGTGTGTGTGTGTGTGTTTTAAAAGATTTTATTTATTTGACAGAGATTACAAGTAGGCAGAGAGGCAGGCAGAGAGAGAGAGAGGAAGAAGCAGGCTCCCTACGGAGCAGAAAGCCTGATGCAGGGCTCAATCCCAGGACCCTGGGATCATGACCAGAGCCAAAGGCAGAGGCTTTAACCCACTGAGCCACCCAGGTTCCCCAGTTTGTGTGGTTTTTTGTTTCCATTTTCTAGATTGTAAACTCAAGGAGGGCAAAGCCAAAATCAGTCTGGATATTTGTTACTCCTCCCCCATCTGTCCTCTTAGAAGAATGGTCTGGCACACAGCTGGTGCTCATTAAATATTTACTGAGTGAAATGAATGAGTGCCTTAAGTGCTTGAAAACCCTGACCTGGGGGCTCCTGGGTGGCTCAGTGGGTTAAAGCCTCTGCCTTCGGCTCAGGTCATGATCCCAGGGTCAGGTCATGATCCCAGGGTCCTGGGATCGAGCCCCATATCCGGCTCTCTGCTCGGCAGGGAGCCTGCTTCCTCCTCTCTCTCTGCCTGACTTTCTACCTACTTGTGATCTCTCTCTGTCAAATAAATAAATAAAATCTTAAAAAATAAAAATCTGGGTAAGTGTTATTAAAGTTAGGACTGGGGTGCCTGGGTGGCTCAGTCACTTAAGCCCCCCACTCTGGGTTTTGGCCTAGGTCATGATCTCAGGGTTGTGGCGTCAAGTACCGCCTGGGGCTCCCACCAGCGAGGAGTCCACTGGAGATTCCCTGTCTCTCTCCCTCTTCCCGATCACATGCTCTCTCTCTCAAATAAATAATCTTTAAAGCTAGGAGTGAGGGTAGGTGAGGTGGGGATTTCCGCCCACAGACCCTTTTTAAACCTCACTGGCTACTCTCCACCCTGCGCAACCAAACAGCCCTACGCTCTTGCCAATCAAGCACCATGCAAAATCCCTATCATGGACCAAATAAAGAGGATTGTGACATAGACTCTAACAGTGATGGCGTTTGTGTCTCAAGCCCGGAATATGACGGTGGCGGCTCATAGCTCCTTTCAGGCAGGCAAAGTGCACCACTCTCCTCCCGCGCCCAGACCTGGGTCCTCTGACACCCAAAGCCTACAAGCTCCTGCTGTTGCCTCAATTCTGACCTGCCGTACAGCATGGCAGCTTCTAAAGACGTGGCCCCCAGCACGGCTAGCCGTACAACATGGCCGCCTACAGAGCGCGAACCGCGCCCCCTCCCGCCCAATCACCGGAAGTTTCCTTTTGAAAGCCCGGCGGCAGACCCGGTCGCTAGTGCGGCAGTTACCGAGGAGCATCCTTTGAACCAGGGCAACGAGGGCTGCGGGCAGGAGCTGCAGGAGCCTGGGTTCGACTCTCCCGGGGCGAGGGATGGGGCTAGATGTGGGAGGGATGGGGTTAGATGTGGGGCGGGCGGAATGGTCTGGGAATGGAGAATTTTCTTTCTTCCGACTTCTTCCCCCGGCCGAGAGAGGTCAGGTCGCGCTCTACGGAGGCCCTCCACCTACTCCGGCCCCCAAACCCATTACAGGTTAACGTTCACCTTGCACCTTTCAGACCTCAGCTGCGCCGCCTCGTTAGGATGACCAGCGTGGTTAAGACAGTATACACTCTGCAGCCCCCCGCTGTGCAGAGCGGCGGCCTGCCTGCAGGTGGGTATCCACACAGCCCTGCGGCCCAGCGGGGTGGTCCGGCGGAAGAGTACGAGGGAACAGACCGGTGGTCAGAAAAGGCGGGCGCGGCTAGGGAAAGGGCAGTTCATCAGCTCTGACAACCTGCTACCTCCGCTAGAACTGGGCTGTCTAGGTTTATGACGGGAGTTGGGGCAAGGGCCCTGTGGTAAGATTTAGACGTGCCCACCTCCCACATTCCAATTCCCAAACCTAATCGTGCTGCATTTACTAATTAGATTTAAGTTGCTGATTGTTTCACAGTATTATTTCCTCAAGCTAGAAATCGCCCCCTTTCTTAAAAGATTTTATTTATTTATTTATTTGACAGAGAGAGAGATCGAGCGCGCACAAGCTAGGGGAGAGGGAGAAGCAGGCTCTCCACTGAGCAGGGAGCCAGATGCAAGGCTCAATCCCAGCACCCTGGGATTATGACCTGAGCTGAAGGTAGACACTTATCCAACTGAGCCATCCCAGCGCCCCAGGAATCCCTTTTTAAACAGTTGCCAGTTTGATTTCCAGATCTGGGCTACCTGGAGGGACTGGATTTGTTGTCAGGGAGAAGGAAGAGAGTCCTTTGAGAAGCGTGATTCTTGGAGGCACCAGGGTTCGCACCTTGTCTCGTTCACATTTGCTTCTGCACTGTGTCACTTAATACAGTAAATTGTCAATCAATTGTTAGGTGAAGTGAGAGAGAGGGGCCAAGCCTAGCCAGAGTTTTCCATAACCTTGGGAGAAGAAATAGGATTAAAAACAATTTTTTATTGCTTTGCCATCTTGCTTTGTGTTGCTGGGCTTGTGGTTGAAAGTCATGTAGGCTCTTGAGCTCCTTAATCTCAAGAGCAGGGCACAAAATAAGCTTCAAACATCAGAACCTGTGGGGGCAGATTTGGAAGTAGCTATTTAGGACTCCTCCCAGGGGACTCTGTGCAGCTGGTAGATGAGCAGTAGAGGATTGATCTATAAATAAAAAGGGTTTCCTCAAAAGGCTTAAAGGTTTGTTTGTTTGTTTGTTTGTTTGTTCTGGCCTTAGAACACCTAAATGGTAATCTGGCATCAGCAGGACCTAGGAGTTATTGGGAGGTAGCGGGGAGCATGCCCCTGCAACAGCCTTTGCTTTGAGTGGAGACTGGCTTTCCCCAGCCAAGTTGGAAGTTTTTAATCTCAGCTTTCTATCCCTGTCCCAGTTTTATGATCATATATAACCTCAACAGTTTAACATTTTAAGGCTATCTCCTACGTTTTTTGCCTACCTAATATACACATGTAAAAAAGAATCCAAAGTTAGAAAATATTATGCCGTGAAGAACAAGTCTCTTTTCCTTCCTTGACCAGCCTTCCAATTCCCCTCCTTAGCGACTCTCATTTTTTAAAAAAGATTTTATTTGAGACAGGGCGGGGAGGGAGAAGCAGACTCCTTGCTGAGCTGGAGAGCCTGCTGTGGGGCTCAATCCGGTAACCCTGAGATCTTGACCTGAGCCAAAGGCAAGCACTTAGCCAACCGAGCCACCAGGTGCCCCACATCTCTCATTTCAAGAAGATAGTCTTTGTTAAGTCCTGCTAAATTTTTTCTACAATGCAGTCCTTAGGCTTTAGCAAGTACAGATTATTAGAATTGATTCCAGTCAGCGAAGAGTGGTCATTTTGATCAATTTATTAACACCCTTTCACCTGGAGGTAGATGTGTTACTGTGTATAACTTACTAATACTCAGAAGAGGAGGTAAATATGTTCCCTTAAGGTTACCTTTTACTTGAAAATAGAGACCTGGGGTGCCTGGCTGGTTCACTTGATAAAGCATATGACTCTTGAGCTCGGGGTTGTGAGTTCTAAGCCCCACATAGGGCATGGAACCTACTTTAAAAAATAAATAAAAATGAACAAAAAAATAAAAACAACTACACAACAGTTAAAGGAGAACTTCGCAGCAGCTTGAGTGTAGCCTCAGGAGAGTGGGCAGAGGACGGAGGAGTTTTGCAAGGTGTTTTGGTTCCAGTGGTCCTGGAGGAAGGCTCCAGCTGCGCGTCAGCCCTGCTGACAGCCACAAGACCCCTCTTTTCATTCTTCGCTTGTATCAATGTCCACTTTCATGCCTGTACACCTTGGCCGTTCAGTTTGCCAGATCATCAGGCTTTTGGCTATCCTCAAGTATACTGCAGTATCACCTTCCAAGGATTTTGGTTTCCATCCCCAGTTAGTCTAGAAGTGTATTCTTTTGAATTAGTCCTTACAAATTGAGACGGGCCAGAAAATACAGGGTGCTGACAGCCTGGAATGGGCTGACCTAGCGTTTCTTCGGTTGGGTCACGACGCTTGAGGTCTCAGCAGCTTGTCTTCCTTTGCAGACACACAAACTCGAGCCACTTCTAAGAGCCTGCTACCTGTTAAATCCAAGGAAGTGGATGTTTCCAGACTTTATTCAGGAGGTTCAGAGAACGATGTTATAAAAGTCACTAAACCAAGACGAGAGAACGGGTGAGAGTTGAATTATTGGTACCCGATGAGAACATCTTGCTAGAGGTTGCTCGGTATCAAGATTTAGAAAAGAGGGGTTTTGAGAGCACCAGGCAATCGGAGTCCGTGGCCCCAAAAGGCGGTGTGTCAGAACAGTCTGTGTCGAACAGTTTTGAGGAGGCCCAACAAGGGTTAGGTTAAGAGGTACTTTGTTTGCTCTGAGTGTGCAAATAGCCGGACCCTGGCCAAACACCAGGCCTTAGTGGTGGTCGGGGTGTGTGGGGCTATTTGTTAACCCAGGTTGCTGGTCTGAGCGTCGTCCTGCCCCAGGTAGCGTGCTTGTTTCCCTATACTCGGTTCCCACGTCAGCCAGCTTGACAGGACGTAGCCATACTGCTCTGAGCAGGAGCAGGTCCGTCAGGCCATTGAGGTGGGCCAGGAGAGGAGCCCATTCCCTATTCATAAGCCTTTTCCAATAGTCTAGGCTCAAATGACAGCACATGGGCCCTCTGAGCTTCTCAAGCTGTTGGCATTGTATGTCTCTGGTTTTTTCCTCAGAAATCCAGGCTCTTTGTTCTGCCTTGTTTACAACACACAGTACAGCAGTGCTACCATTCTCTGATTTCTTTATTACTTTTTTTTTTTTAATTTATTTGATAGAAGGAGAGCACAAGCAGGGGGAGCAACAGGCAGAGGAAGAGGGAGAAATAGACTCTTTGCTGAGCAGGGAGCTGGAGGCAGGGCTCCATCCCAGGACCCTGGGATCATGACCTGAGGCTTACCCGACTGAGACACCCAGATGCCCTCTTTGTTACTTTTTTAATTGAGGTCTGCTTACACACAACAGTGTATTAGTTTCAGGTGCACAACATAATGGTTAGCTATCTGTATATATTGCAAAATGATCACCACAGTAAGAGGAGTGAACATCCTGATTTCTTTGTTTTTGCTTCTCTAGGCAGGTAAAAGCTGCAGACCCTGCCACGAGGAAGAACCTCAGAAAGAGGTGAGCAGCAGGGTAAGCAAAAGTTGGCCACCATTTTAAGGTGGAGGCTCTCAGTCCTGGTTGTGCCTCAGAAATCACTCATAAGTTTGTTTAGAGTGTGACAGCCTGGGTGCCACGCCAAAAATCTGAGTAGAATTTTCAGGGGGGAGGCACAGCCCAGTTTGAGAACCACTGACAGGGCTAGGATCTTCGAGGCTCCCATCTTGAGAACCAGGCAAGAGCTTTCTGGGTTCCATGCCAGGTTCACTACTGATTGGACTTCAAAGCCACCTATAGCCCGTGGATAGGTGGATAGGAGGGTGAGCCTTCGGGATATGAGGTACTGCATGTGGTTAGTGACTTTAAGATGGTGGTGGTAGAAATCCTGGAAGAATCCATCTCTGTTTGAGGATAGCTTGTCTATTTTGCTTCTGAAGATAGAAATAATACAAACTGGAAAATTGATAGAAGTAGGTTCTACTTCCAAATCTATTATTTGTGCATGTCTTGAAAGTTCTGAAGATAGGGGCCCTGGCTGGCCCAGTTGGTAGAGTGTGTAACTCTTTCTTTTTAATTTTTTAAAGATTTATTTATTTTAGAGAGTACACGCAAGCAAGATAGGGGCACAGGGAGAGGGAGAGAGAATCTCAAGCATGTTTGATTCCCCACTGAGCGTGGAGCCCTGAGATGGGGCTCGATCTAATGACCCTGAGCCGACATCAAGAGTCAGGCACTCAAATGACTGAGCCACTCAGATGCCCCAAGCATGCAGCTCTTGATCTCGGGGCTGTAAGTTTGAGACCCACTTTGGGTGTAGAGATGACTTAAAAAATAATTTTTAAGTTCTGGAGATAAAATACTACTCAAGAAGGACTCTGAGGGCACTGAAAAGAAGTAATGATGATGATGGCTATTTATTGTTTACTATGTGTCGGCTATTATTTATTATTTACTATTGTTTACTGTGTTACCTGTGCTAAGAATTCTACATGTATTCTCTCATTTTTCACAGTAATAGAATTATGAGTTGTGGGTATTATCCTAATTCTAGAAATGAGGAAACAAAGTCTCAAGAGAGGTTATGTAACTTACTGAGGGTCATATGCCACTGTATAATGAAGCTAAGAGTTGAACCCCTGTTTGGATGGTTCTGTAGCCCATTTTCTTATACCTCCACTTCTTCACCTAAGCACAAATTATCATTACAGCTACAAACCACTGAGTAAGCAGAAATCAGAGGAAGAGCTCAAGGATAAGAACCAGCTCTTAGAGGCCGTCAACAAGCAGCTGCATCAGAAGTTGACTGAAACTCAGGTAAGAGACCCCCACTGGACCTCTGCCATCACTGCACTAGGCAATGGGTGGCCTCTGGTGGGATGGCCCAGGGACTGGAGAAGCTTGTCTTGCCCCAGGGGCCCGAGCAGAGGAAGAAAGAGGCCAGGCTTTTGCTGTGCAGGTATCAGAGCAGGGGCAGGAGAGAAACCCCCGCCCACCCTTTAAGGGGAACAGGCCTGTTCTGTCTGTATTGCACCTCCATAGGGAGAACTAAAGGACCTGACCCAAAAGGTGGAGCTGCTGGAGAAATTTCAGGACAACTGTTTGGCAATTTTGGAGAGCAAGGGCCTCAACCCAGGTAAGAGACAGTGCACATTTGCCTTCGGAGGAGTCAGTGCATGTGCCCCTTCCTGAGGTGGGGCGGGGGTGGGGAGTGGTTGTGGACTGTCTGTCAAGAGCCCCAGCATAGCACCAGCTGGGCCATTCAGTGCAGGGTGCTTAGCAAAGCAAGAAAGATTGGGAGGATCTTTTCTTTCCCTTTTTTTTTTTTTTAAGATTTTCTTTATTTTTAAGTAATCTCTACACCCAACGTGGGGTTTGAAGTCACAAAGCCCGAGATCAAGAGTCACAGGCTCTACAGCCTGAGCCAGCCAGATGCCCTGAGGAGCTTTTCTTTGTTCCCTTGTGTTTGTGGACAGAGGACTATCTCCTTTCTGAACACTTTGTTCATGCCATTCATTTGGTGCCAACAAGTGTGACCTTGCAAATAGACCAGAAGTACTTTCTTTTTTTCAAGGTAGATAGCAAAGTAACTTTCCCAGGTGGGAAAAGACAGAGGTGATACTCTATCAAGGGCTCCTAAACCTGGCTCATCAGCAGAATCGCAATGGTTAAATGTGATTTCGATTCTGACCCTGTCCCTAGAGAGTAGAGTCTGCAGCAAGAAGGGGAGTGGAAGCAGGAATTGCCCAAGGACTGTACAAGAGCTTCAGACTGAGTTGAGGAGCCTGAGAATACCCAGTGAAGGGGCCCAGGCTTCTCTGAATTCAGGAACACTGAGTTTGAATGCTGCTGATTAACGTGTGCATTTTAGGATATATTCTTTACAGTTACCATATAGTTACCATACGTTTTTATATTATTTTAATTTATAATGCATATGTATAATATGCATTATATATATGTATAATGCATATTTTTGACCAAAAATAATAATTTTTAAGCCCAAATGCTTTATTTTTTTTTAAGATTTTATTTATTTATTTGACAGAGAGCAAGAGGGGGAACACAAGTGAGTGGGAGAGGAAGGAGCAGGCTTCCCGCTGAATAGGGATCCTGATGCAGGGCTCAATCCCAGGACCCTGGGACTGTGACCTGAGCTGAAGGCAGACATTTAACAACTGAGTCACCCAGGCGCCCCAAGCCCCAAAAGCTTTAAAAAATAGTTTTTTGTGGGACACATGTGTGGCTCAGTTGGTTAAGTGTGGGACTCTTCATTTCAGCTCAGGTCATGATCTCAGGGTGGTGGGATCTGGCCCTCTGTCAGGCTCTCAGGGAGCCTGCTTGAGATTCTCTCTCTCCTTCTTCTCACCTCACTCCACACTCAAGTGTACTCTCTCTCCTCTATAAAATAAATAAATCTTTAGAAAAAAAAATTTTTTAAAGATTTTATTTATTAATTTGAGAGAGATACAGAGAGAGAGCACAAGCAGGGGGAGAGGTAGAGGAAGAAGCAGACTCCCTGCTGAGCTGGGAGCCCGATGTGGGGCTCAATCCCAGGACCTCGAGATCATGACCTGAGCCGAAGGCAGACTCTCAACCATCTGAGCCACCCAGGCGCCCCTAGAAAAAAATTTTTAAATAAAAATGGGTTTTTGTATTATAAACAAAGAAAGTCAACCAACACATTTTCTTTGGACAAATTTTCTGCTAAGCTGAAGAGAAAGCAGAATGAACTTTTAACCATATCCAAAGCTAGAGAGGAGGGAGGTAAAATAAAGCTCTGAGGGTAGGTGTAGGTGACCCTGCCAAGGGGAAAACTGTCAGACTCTTTGAGAAGTTTCCCTCATGAATACTCCTGTACTTGTCCATGGAGGGGTTTTTAGTTTTTGTTTTAGGTGCGATTCCCTAAGCAAGGCTGACTTTGTCGTTTGTATCAGTTTTAGGCAGTGAGGCCCTGGCATCACAGCAAGGATCCACCACCGATCACACGGACTCTATGGTGAGAGCATGGATGTGAGTGGGCGGGGGCCAAGTGACCGTGGGGCTCTGCCCATCCAGGAAGGGCTCTGCCATGTGCTCAGCAAACCCCAGGAAGCCGCATTTATTTTCCATGATAGTGGAAGACAGCAGTGGATGTGTACTCAAAATAGCATATTTCACTTGGAAGGCGACTTTGTGCTTACAGATGTGAGCGAGTCTGAGTTGAAAATGTGCTACTTTAAGACATTTTTTTTTAAAGATTTTATTTATTTATTTGACAGATCACAAGTAGGCAGAGAGGCAGGCAGAGAGAGAGGGGGAAGCAGGCTCCCTGCTGAGCAGAGAGCCCGATGTTGGGCTCAATCCCAGGACCCAGAGATCATGACCATAGCTGAAGGCAGAGGCTTAATCCACTGAGCCACCCAGGCACCCCTTTAATTCACATGTTAACATGGACATGTATAGAGAACTTTCTGGTTTCTCTCTTCTCCGCTTTACCAAATTTCTCCCCTTGGCCATTTATTGAGAACTGTAGGATGGAAAGGTCCAGCCTGGAGTAAAATTGGCTTCTTTGGTTCCCTCCCCAAAGTAGGAAGGTGGTTGTTTGGGCTTAAGTCTTTGAGATTCTATGCCCTCTTCCCCAGGAAGATCAGTTGTCATCTTAGAATCATAGAATTCTAGCTATGGAAGGCTTCCTCCACCCCCTAGGCCAGTAGTCACCTCTTCAATGGCTACTCTGTTTTGTGTAACATAGAGCACGGGGAAGTAGGGTGATATGTCCATCGCTTGGACTGAGTTCCTCCAGGGGTGCCCCAGAGAAGAGCCCGGCACATGGGGGACGCTCAGTAAATGCCTGAAAGAACTGAAGGATTGTTAGCAATCATCTAATCAACTCTCATTTCATATGAAGAGATTAGTTTATATGAAGAAAGTTTTCACGTATCAGTAACGATTTGTTACTACATTGTACTTTCCTCTTAGTTGCTGCTAGAAACTTTGCAAGATGAGCTGAAGTTTTTTAACGAAACAGCCAAAAAGCAGATGGAGGAGTTACAGGTGAGAGGCAGACATCACCTTGAGGCAGGATTACCATTTCCCACCATGGTGGGTAGGGCTCTGGAAGATTCTTCCTTATTCATACATTTCTTTCTTTTTAATAAACTGCTTTGTAATCATAGATTTATAGGAAAGTTGCGAAGATAAATACAGAGAATTCACTGTCCTTAATATTAACATCACACATTATCATAGTATATTTGTCATAATTTAAAAACCAACATTGATGCATTACTATTCACTAAATTCCAAGACTTCACTTGATTTCACCATCTTTTTCAACAATTGATTTTCTATTCCAAACACTCAGAAATGTTCACATCTACAGGGCTTGAGGCAACGTACAAAACACTAGGTTGCTCAGTGTATGAGGTGGACTTTTGTGACAGCTCTGCTTTGGAAACTTGGTATATCAAGGAAATCTGTAATAGGAAACCCGGATTGAGTCTAGACTGCTTTGGACTGCTTGGAAGAATCATGGGCCAGTACACTGAATCCTAGAGGATTTCATGGCTCCAGTTTAGATATAGGAGTCTGTAGTAGAGACTACTACAGTTCTAAAACCAGCCCAGATATACAGATCTAAGGCTGAAAAATCTCATGTCAATATTCGCATCGTCTTCCTCAAGGGAAGAGAAGCATAGTGTCCTTAAATGGTATTGCCTTTCGTGTGACTCAAAGTCCTGTGGGTGTTCTTTTGTTTCTTCCTTCCTTTCTGAATGTCTTTCCATGCAGGCCTTAAAAGTAAAGTTGAAGATGAAAGAAGAAGAGAGAGCCCGGTTCCTAGAACAGCAGACATTATGTAACAGTCAAGTAAATGACTTTACAGCAGCCCTTGAGGAAATGGAACAGCTATTAGAAATGTGATAAAAAGCAAGTGACCAGATGGCTCCCACAGAGGAAGCCACTTAGGACATCTGCTTCTCGGCCATGACCTTCTAGGACTCACTATCCCCAGAATGGAAACATTTCTGCAGTAGGATTAAGGACAGTCTATGCTGGAATGGCAGTTCCTCCTTTAGGCAAGCGTGCGCCCCCCTCAGACTGATGGGCCCTCCTGAACCTCGCACACACAGAATGGAGGCCAACAAGAGGGCCCCTCTGTCCCCGGAAGCTTGGATTGACCCTCTAGCCAACAAAGTGAACGGCAGGCCATTAGAATCAGGAGACTAATCTAGCTACAGCCAGACGATCCCAAAGGTCACATTCAGATGCATAGGAAGAAAACCTTAATTGTACCATGGAATACAGAGACTCCATGGGAGACATCACTGAGAAGCGATGCTAACTTCTAACTTGGAACACACTCTGTCTAATCCTGGTTGGGCTCTAGACCTCATTGTTAAATGAATGAACATGAAGTTACTGGAAATGGCTTAATAAATGAGGGTGAAGGTTTAGATAGCAGTAACACCTACCTGAAATAATACAACTTGGAGCTTTTAATCTAAATCACTTCTGCTTTTATTTTTTATTAAGTGCTACTTTTAAAATAAACATTTCTCTGACTACCCCGATGGCAACTCTGAGACATGAAAATAAGCCATTTAACTGACCCATGTCTACCGAACACTCTTGGCCTAATGCAGGGAACAAGTTCAAGACTCCAGCGTAACCCATAATATTTTTCTTCCACTTCTGTGCTCTGTGGCTAGCCCTGCTGTCTTCCAGGAGCAGAGCTGGTCTTCTGAGGGTGTCTGCTGTTTGTGGCAGTGGGTGCCCGACTCCATCCTCCAGTGTGTCACTAGCTGCCTGTGCCCTCTCTATATTCCTGAGCCTGGTTATCTTCTGCTCTTTGCACAGCCAATCCTGGGCCTGGCCCCATGGATCCCTAGTTAGCTAAAGTCCATGGTAGGCTTCCCCCTGGTTTACCAAAGGCAGAGCTCTATTTCATTTCTTAGTTGATCTAGGCAGACTGGCTATCTTCCGTGTTTTTCTGCATCTCCCAATTTCTACACTAACCCCACCCCCCTCCACTCTTGAGCATAGAGACTACCACCCAACCAGGCCAAGGAACACCCCCACCCACTTTAGGGCTAAATTTCTTTGCCTTCACACACAGACATTCACACAGTTGGTTATGTCCCCAAAATCAGACATACATAGTTACATAACTCACCAGTCAAAAGGGCTGAATATTTTCTTCTACCCATTTTCAGCATGTTTATAGTTTAAAAGATTATTTACCCAAATGAATGTGTAATTGGCATTTCTGCCCCCCCGCCCCCAGTTCTACTTCCTTCTTGGAAAGAGAGCTGGAGAACTCAGCTGTGGGATCCTCACCTCCTCGTCAGGCCGCCCTGGTTAACACCTAGGAACGTAACTTCCTCAATGCCTATGACGACTCTAACCCAGCGCCAAAACCCTGTTCGCTGGTGGCCGGCCAAGGGGCCTTCGTCTCCCAGCTCCCCTCTGTGCTCCTTTGCCTTTTCTGTTGTTTCCTCCTACCTCTGTTGCTCCATCTGCCTCTCGTACTCATGGAGGTGTTCAGGGTGATTCATCTGTTCCGTAGGCTGGATGAACTCATGTTAGGAGAAACTCAGCAGACCGTGACCCATACTCTCCACTCTGCTGGGTGTTCTAGGAAACTTTATGGAGAATGGCATTCTTAACCTCAAAGATGCTTGCCGTCTATTTGGGAAAACTTGTATGTGCAGGTGACAGGTAAGTGAAATAACAAACAGCAACACTTTACTAACTGGGTTGTGTGGCATAGGTGTGTACTCTAGTAGTTCACTATGGGGTAGTTTGGTTGGGGAGGGCTTGAGGAGGAGGCAGACCGGAGACTGAAGGAAGGGTAACATCTGGAGAGGCTAGCTAGAAAGTGGAGGACATTCCAGATCAGTGAACGTGTGGAGGTTCAGGGAGAGAAGCAAGGTCAGGTCACAGGCAGCTCCGCTTCCTTTCCCCCCACCTCACCCTCTGCATATCTTCCACCTGGCTATTCCTGAGTTACAGCCTGTGCAGTAAATAAAATGTTTCTCTGAGTCTGTAAACTGCGCCAGCCAATTATAAACCCAAGCAGGGGGCTGTCATTGGAACCTCCGGGGAGAAAATCAAAGCATGAAATGCTGAAGGAAAGAATAAAGAGCTGAAGGGATATCCAGATGAGTCTTGGGGAAGTGAGTTAGGGAACTGACTGGGCTTATGCAGAGGTTCAAGGTAAGAGGAGATGTCTGTCACTTAACTATTTGTACTCTGCCATCCATGGGGCCTATACCCATGATTCCTTGCTGTATTTCTCAGGTAATCCTCATTACCATCTCAATGTAAGCACTATTACCTCTTTATGCAGCCGAGGAAAGAGACTCACAGATGTTAGGTTAATTTACCCAGGGTCAAACAACAAGCAAATATTGGAGAAAGATTTGAGCCAGGGAATATTGAGGGTGGGAGGTACTTGGTGTTAGTAGAAGTCTTGAAAGCCTGGCATTTTTATCATTTGGCCAGAGGTTTCCAAACTCTCAAGTTCATGATGCTCCTAGGTAGTGTCTTACTAATATTTATGACACCCAAAGAAGTATCAGTGATTCCATTTTGAGTGGTCAGATCCAACAACTTAGTATAGGTACTTGAAAAAGTGTTCTTATTTCATTTTTAAGTAACTACAATTATTCCTTAATGGAATTGTCAACACAAAATGAATAAACTCTTTAGAATCTCTAAAAGTGAGGAGGGGTGCCCCGGTGGCTCAGTAGGTTAAGTAGGTTAAGCCGCCAATTCTCAGGGTTGTAGGATCAAGTCCTTCCTTATGCTCAGTGCTCAGTGCAATCTGCTCATCCCTCTCCCTCCCCATCTGTGCCCCCACCTCCACCACCCCCCATCAGCTCCACTAAAAAGTAAAACTAAGGAGAGACCTGATCTGAAGACAGTTGCTTAACTGGCTGAGCCACCCAGGCACCCAGAGAACTCCAAATTGACTGGTTTAAAATTCTATTCTCAGAGAAATTGAAACTGCAAATAGATTTTGATTTGCTGCCCTGGGGGCAAGTGACTCCACCTTGGGCCTAAGGCTTCCTTTTTAGCACTCCTAACACCCTTGCTGTGGGTGATATTAATTTCATTTCAGCCTTTCATCCCAGGACTCAGGGTACTCAACTACCTGAAAAGACCGGTTCAGGGCATTAGCCTACCACATTAGAGGGGGAAAATAGCGAAGGGGGTTAGAGGCTTAATTCCATCAGCTCTCTTCTTCCCCTGTTAAGTAACAAAAATTCAACTGAGTCCATTTTAAAGATCTAATTGGCTTTATTAAACAATTCATGACTCTGGCAGCAATCCCATCAAGCAAACAGAAAGGAACTCCAAGGAGGCTCAGAAAAGGAAAGGTTTTTATTTTTTTAAACATTTTATTTATTTATCTGTCAGAGAGAGAGAGAGGGCGCGCACAGGCAGGCAAAGGCAGAGAGAGAAGCAGGCTCCCCACTGAACAAGGAACAGATGTGGGACTCGATCCCAGGACTCTGGGATCATGACCTGAGCTAAAAGCAGATGCTTTAACCGACTGAGCTACCCCGGCATTCTAAAGAAAAGGTTTTTAAAGGTAGCAAAGGAACCGAAAAAGGAAATTATGAGCAAAGAATTGATTGTTTCAGGCAAGATCCATCCTAAGAGGTACACAAGGAAGGGGTGTCCATCAATAAATTTCCCAATGCTGACAGGCAACTCCCATGTTGAGTGGTTAGAGGTTACATTCCTGGGGCAGGGGCGGTGGGGGAGTGAAACTACAGTAAGGTAGTTGTCTCAGTTTACTGATTCACAGCCTTAAGTGGTTCCACTGCGGCTCTGTGTTTTTCTTTTTAATACTCGTAACACACTACTCTTGCTTTTCTGCACCTTCATTCTCTCCCCCAACCCTGTTTTTTTAAAAAGCCCTGATACTCTTCTTGTACATTGAATAATTTGCAAGACAGTAACTCGTTCGCATAAAACTCCAAAATCACTCAATCCTGTTACATAATAAAGCAAGTTTTAATGGCTTCTAATAGTGTGCACAACAGAGCCAGCGCTCCCTACCCAATCTTAGACATCCCAGATAGGCTTTAACAATTTATTTCCAAGCACTGGACATCTGGAGAGTTTTCCCAGGCTGTTTTAACATATAAAGATATAGACCTCTGTAGTTAGGGAGTGCTACTTCAAAGCAGGGGAGATACAACTCCTAGACTCTCAAGACACCTTCCTCGCTCTTCTACTTAGTAAGGTCTCCACCTAGGGATGACTCCCGCAGTCTCCAACAGCGCCAACCCAGCCCCGCGGTGAGGACCCGCGATCAACTCTTCACCGCTGATTGGCTGATGTGGTGACCGAAGGCAGCGCGGCCTTCAGCCTCCCGTGGAGGGTGATAGGCTGCTGGAGACCCACCCCCTCGCCGATTGGGTGGAGGCAACAAACCCCGGGATTGGTGGAGCCAGGGGGCGGATCGCGGCTGGAACTGGCGCTGCAGCTGCGGCTCGGAACTCTGGTTTCTTCTTATTCGCGTGCAAGGCCGAGATGGCGACTTCGGCTTGGATTCTGGGACGGCGTGCGGTGAGTTGGAGGCTGCGGTCGCCGCGGGCGCAGCTCGCTAGCCTCGTGTCCCAGCGGGCCCACTCCCTCTTGCCCGTGGACGATGCGATCAACGGTCTAAGCGAGGAGCAGAAGCAGGTAGGGAACCTCATCCTCTTCCAGGCCCCAAGGCCTTCTGGCCAGGCCGCATCGCCCTGCTCAGAGGTCGCCCAGACGCTCCTCTGCCCGGCGCCCACTCAGCCGCGGCAGTCGGAGCGCGGGGGACGGGCGCGGGTCGCAGCCTGCCCGCTGTGGAAACAGCAAAGCCTGGCTGCTGAGTTAGATAAGGAGTCGGAGACCGGAAGGCTCCTGGAAGGCTGATGGTATTCTGGTGGAGGTTTGATGGTGTTTTGGCTGGGCCACAGGCATGTAGTAAAAAGCCCTCTTTCTGAGGTCCAGTTCCACCTGAACACTGTCTTAAGATTATGGTTCTCAAGTCTGCTTAATAAGAATCACCCGGGAGGGGTGCCTGGGTGACTCAGTGGGTTAAAGCCTCTGCCTTCGGCTCGGGTCATGATCTCAGGGTCCTGGGATCGAGCCCCACATCCGGCTCTCTGCTCAGCGGGGAGCCTGCTTCCCTCTCTCTCTCTCTGCCTGCCTCTCTGCCTACTTGTGATCTCTCTCTCTCTCTCTGTCAAATAAAGTCTTAAAAAAAAAAAAAGAATCACCCGGGAATCTTTTTCGAATATTCACCTCTGGGGGCTTTGAAGTGCACTGTCTAATCTGCTATAAGTTCTTCAACACAGTTGCGGCCAAAGCACAAAGTTGAACAAAACATGAAATTGCATTTCAGGTGAGCCTGAACTAGAGCCTTCCTGGAAGATGACTGTTGCCTTTGGGATGTTGGCACAGAGTTCCCCAGGAACCAGAGTGTCTTAAGCAAATGTCCAAGGCTCCAGGAATTACAAAATCCATTTGCGTTTGCAGTCAGCAGATAGTGGTTTGAATCCCCTTCCACAGA